TAGGAAATTAGACTAGATTCTGAGTGCACCATTTACTTGTCTTAATTCAGTGCTAAAGAAAGCCCCCTGCGGAATTTTCCTAGAAAGACTAAAGTAGCATAGTTCAATAAAACAAGTAAGAAATAAATGGCAGTAATTCAATAAAGCAGAGGAGCTAGGGAAGAAAAGTCTTTAAAAGCGAGGTTTAAACGTTTCTTAAGATGCCTGACATAGGGTCTCCCAGCAGACTAAAGGGAGGAGAATCAGCCCACAGTGTTAACCCGCAGACCTACCATTATTGCAGGACCGAGGCTCCTACCTAGAGAGGTCAGGCCTGGAGAGGCAGAATCCAGGGAAGCTGACAGAGTGCCCAGGGAGCTTATCGATTCACTGGCTCTCTTCTGGTAACCATTACAGAGACACGTGTTGACAGTAATTAAAATGACTTACACACAGGGGTGGTTTCAAACTCAAATCTTCGACTGAAGACACCATAGCCTGCTGCCGTGCGTGCTCGAATTTGGAAGACATACACCGAAGCAGGTTTCAAGCCCTCTGCTGTAATAGTGGTCTCCTTAGACTTGATAATTGTGTAGCTGGTCTCTTGGTCCTTGAATTGCACATGTAACACACAAAAAGGAAGTCATCAGCATATGAATTACTAATTACAGCAAAAGAAGAAACTTCAAACAGAACTAGAAACCAAAGACTGAAAGAAAGAAAAACATTTCCCCTACCCAGAAATATGTGAGGATTTTAAAGACTTTATAAAATATTAAGGCGTTTGATAACACACTATCTACTGATCTATCATATTTACCTTTGGCAAAAAATAATTCATAATTTAACAAATATTGAATGAGATCATCATTTGACAGACTTAGTTTATTCTTTATTATTTGTGTCTTTGTTTTCTCAGAAAAGTTTTATTGGAATATGTCTAGTATGCTTGTTAGTTGTAGAGAAGGCTGAAATTATCTCACATGTATTCACATTAGATACAAGTGCTAAATCTTCAATGAATGTGATGTTTATTATATTTAAAGCCCATGAGATGAAATATGTACTTCTAGAAATCTTTTATTTTAATTAACAAAGTCTAAGCAGGAAGCAATAAAGACAAATTACAAAAATATAGTATAATGTTTTCCCTTGTAACAAATGTCCTATTGTCGAGGAATCAAGTGAATTTGTAGATGGGGATCAAGTAGAAAAGAAGTGTGAAGCTGCAGCAAAGAAAAGATGTTCCTGTTTGGATTGCTGAAGGACAGAAGCCTGTAACAACCCTTAACTCCTCACTCTTGAGTTTGAAGGGTTGAGCCCAGTCACACAATGATATGCTCTGTTCAGTGGGTTAATTTGTGCTTTGATTCTGAATTTTCTTACCCGTAAAACTGAACTAAAGCCTGTTGCCTGAGTTTCTTCATCAAGGTCTGGTAAGACTCAAACAGGTAAGGAGTGTGAAAATATTCCATGGGCCTAAATACATAATTTAATTTGTTCTCGAATTTCCTAATTCCCCACACCAAAGGTCACTCCTAACCACTTTCTGTGACACCACCTATACTACCTAAAACATACAACCTATAAACATGCTTCTCTTAAAACAGCTAATCAGTTTTTTTTTAATTATGCTTGAATATAATGAATTATCAAAGACTAAAATTTGTCCAAATTTATCAGTAATTAGGGATGGTCTGACTTCTACTAGAAAAAGGTTTTCTGATTAATTCTAGACAGATGCTGATCTAGAGTTTTAATGCACAGGTTAAATGCTTGATCTGTAAAATACTGAGTAAATTTTATTAGTACATTTTACAAGCAATTTAAAGTAAGTCATTAAGTACAACAAAGATGTGCCTAAATGCCAATTCCTTCATTAACAAGCTCTTCCTTATCTTTTGCTATTTATTGTTACCTTATAGTAAATTCTAGAACACGGGTAAAAATTCACTTCTTGAAGTTTTCCTTCTAACTATTGTATATAGCTTTTTATTAATATTGTTACTGTGTGTTCTGAGGATGATCCGGTTTATGACTGAAGAGATATGGTTAGATTATTTACTAGTTTTCAATACTGAGACTAAATAACATGGTGCCTCAATAATATATATTCCACTTTGGTTAGGATTCTAACAATAACTTTCAATAGGAAATGATTAAACATCTGTTTACTAATATGATTTTCATTTGTTTGAAGGGAGTTTCACTTATTGAAAAATCTAGTCTAAAACTATTTATTTTTATTTATTTACTATAATTTTGAATTTCTTTGAAAACAATTACATTTATAATATGAAATAAGAAGGATGTGTTTAAGGGCACATGGGGGTTGATGTTAAAATTCCAGGTACATGACAAACTAAGTAATTGTGTATATATGGGTATAGACTTGAAACCTCCAGTTTTTCTCTTTAAAAATGGAGATGAAGCTCTGTCAACAAAACTGAGAGAAGATATGATAGGATTAAAATCATAATATGCTGATTCTAGATAAGCCTGATGACTTGAAAAAGCTTGCATAGTTGAAACTAATGAAGACATTACAATGAAAACATTTTGTAAAAATATTATTTTTTCTTTTGCCAAAAATAATTCAAAAACAAAATCACAAGGAAACTAGAACAGCATTCTTAAAAATAATGTGTGATCTATTATCAATTTTACAAAGAAGACACCACTCTCTGATTTATGACTAACATTAAAATCAATTAATATACCAAGTGAATGATCTCAGTATCTTCCAAAATTTACTTGCATTCCACTCCTTAAATCACTTTAATATGCTAATTTTCTTCCTATCACTAATGCTAGATACACCTCTTCAACAATCATAAACACCTGGCTGCCAAATCCCTGGTCAGGGTTGGGGCTTTCAAGGCATCAGTGGCCCAGCTGAGAAAATGAGCTATATTCCCCAGCTGCTACACAAACACTGCTCACATGTACAGAAGGGAGGGTCTCAGCAAAAGGAGCCAGCTGGCAAACAGCCTGCGCAGGGACAGCATCCCTTTTCTTCTGTCTTTAATTAAGAGATGGCAAGAGGCCCATCACCAGGCCAGAGCAGAGGAGCCCAGTGACCTCTATTAGAACAGGGCAATGGTAGGTAGGCATGCCAGCTGGCAAGTGTGTGTGCCCTGGAAGGCTGTGCCACCTGTGACTGGCCAAAAGCCATCCAATAAAATAGTGGTGTCACTCTGAAGGTTCCAAATGAGCTCTGGAAACCTACCAAGACTCCCACCTCAACATGATACAAAAGCTCATTATCTCTTTTTTTTTCCTTCTAGAAGTGTTAAGAAAAATCTTTCTGTATAAATGGACATGCTTAATGACTTGGTTTGATAAAAATTCAGGGTATTAGTAACATTGACAAAAAGAGGTTAATAACTTCTACAAACTACTATATAATACAAATGTTTTGCTGTTTCAAACATACGTACATGGATAACTTATATTAACTTATTGAAGACATGCATGGTATCCTTTTTCACCAAATGAAATATTTTTTTGTGCATGCATGTATATCTGTGCCTCTGTTTATGTGTGTGTAGGTTCACAACACATTTGTACATATGTATGGAGCCCAAAAGACAATTTCTTAGTGTCACCCTCAGAAAACCATCTACCCCCTTTGAGATAGAATCTCTCACTGGCCTGGAGTTCAAAATAAAAAACTAAATTGACTGGTCAACAAGGTCCAGATTTGCTCCTGCAGTACCCCTGTAGCCCTAGGATGGAAAGCACCATACACCATCACACCAATCATTTTTTATTACTTGTGGGTATCTAATTTAGGTCCAGATGCGTTTTCAAGCAAGCACCTTTCCAACTGAGTCTTCTACCCTGACTCAAACCATATTTTAGCTGGTACGGAGCTAACAAAGTGTATTAATATGACATTAAACAATTAAAGAACAAATCATGTTGAAAAACATAATTTAAAGTTTTCTTATGAATAAAAATCATTCTCCAAAGTAGATGAAGTTCCCTAGATGTAGGAATGCAAGAGGAATCCTCTCTGTGACATGTTGAATAACTTTGTTTCCAAAGAAGCAGCAAATTAAAGAATAAAGGGAACAGATATCTTTGCCCCTACTCAATATTGTGCAAATTTTGGGAGGTGGTAGCAATAGCAATCCAAGGTTACTAGGCAATGAGGCAGGGAAGAGAAATAGGAGGATTTCCTTGAGGGAAAATGTGAGTGCTGTTAATTAGTTCAGCTTATTAATTTAGCCGAAGAAAAATGACATGGACTTAGAAAGTACTTGACAAACTTTTGGAATCAGTGCAGTTAAACTATGTTTCAGCTAAGATAAATACATAGATCCATTTATATTGTTTTTTTTCTGTTCAAACACAGTTTTTCATTATTGAGTTTAACTTCTATTAAAATCAACTTAATCACCATAAAATTGGGAAATATAAAATACTTATAGATGAATGTAGTCTGAGTTTCTCGATATTTGTATATAAATCTACAGAACTTTTCATTAGTATAGAATATTAAGGTACACAAAAACTTAAATAGGGAATGGAATCTTAATTTATAAATTATTATTCCACAGAGAATGTTTTCATGTTGTAGATCTCTGGAATTCAAATGTAGTTTTGATTATTAGCCCCCAAGACACAGGAATCACTGATGCCACTCCACTCCACTGCTTCAGCTCTGTTTTTCTTGACAAGAAACACTGTAAGCCATACTAAAACATAATTTTGTCTCAGAGGTGTTCTTTTAGAGCATTTTGGTGCATTTAAAATATATTTTTGGTGGGTGTGAAGAAGTGCCAGGAAGGATAGTAGGATAGAAAAATAACGGAATAAAGTATAATGAAAATGTATGAAGATGCTATGATGAAACCCATTGTGTTTAGGCTAATCTAAATAATTACTCAAAAAAATAAAAAAACATATAAAAACATTTTTTTTCAAAATATCTTTAATGTATCATCATTTATGCTTCCTAATGTGCCAATAGATACAGATAATGCTGCTATTATACCAAGTGATTATATATTAACAAAATCAAAATATGAACACCACAGACATTAAAGGCCTAGACATAACATATAGATCGTTCTCCTACTACCTCATATTTCTGAACTATTGCTTTATATTTAATCACAACTTTGCATAATTCATTGTTGAACCAATTACCAAATGAAGAAAAAATTAAATCTAATCCCCCAAAACATGAGAAATTATCAATAAGTATTTTTTCTTAGACTCCTTTACCTGCATATGCTTAGAGTCCTAGATTTTTAAGTTTGTATTAAAGCATCTTGAACACTTCACATGATGATGATAAGAAGGACCACTTATTCCTGCTCTCTTTTTGCACAATCTATCTTGTGCATTTTCTTAAATATCATAACGTTATGAGTATGTACTTTGTTCTAATCACATTTATTCTTCCTTAAAAGTGGAGTGACGTCCCTGGGAGTTTGTGAGGAGCTCTTGAGTCAGTGTAGCCCACTCATTCTATCTATTAGGATCTGCTTCTTTGTCCTGTGCTTGCTTTCCTTTCTATTCCCACTAGCATGAAGCCACCACTTGGAGTCAAAGCCCACAATTCACCTATTGAAAACGTCCTGGGCACCCATTTAACTTCTCCTTGAATACTTTATTAGAAAAAAGATTGTCCTAAAAGTATTCCATTTAGGCCAAGCCTACAAACAACAACAACAACTACAACAATAAGAAAACAGTAGGACAGGATGGGAATGTAAAGACACACATGGTAGTTCTGTATTGCAGGCACGTAGGCCAGTCCCAATAAAAACTATAAATTCCCCACGAGTGTCCAGAAATTTTCCTCCAATATCTATCACTTACTTGATTACAGCCAAAACAGGAAAAATGATTATTACATGTTTTTGATCCCAACAAACATTTTGTTAAAAAATTTAAGTATGAAATTAAGACACAAATTACTAAGGAGTAAAAAAGCTTGTTCTCATGAGGCCCTGTCTCCACTCTGGAAGATTGGAAGGTAGGCTACCACAAATGCCTGACATTTAAGAGGATTCTGTTAATCCAAACTCCAGACCCCAAAATTGCAGAGTCAGTGCTTTAACCGAGGAGCTATTTCCCCATGTCCTGATTTTCTCTTCTAATGTAGAAGCCAGTTAAGCTGACTAAAAGTCACTATCTAAGAGGCCTCATAGAACATGATGGACTGCTCACTTCAGGTATTTGGCCCAAACCAGAATGACTGAAAATAAACAAACAAACAACAACAACAAAAAAAAAAACCTGTCATTAAATTTTCACATGAAAATGCAACATCCTCTTGTAAACATTGGATAATTTCAAGTGCGAAAAAGTAAAGAAAAAGAAGAAAGTTTTTAAAAAGAGTTATCTTAGTCCTACCTTTTCAAAATACTTGATTTCATATTCCAGGATGATACCATTGGGGCGATCTGGCTCTTGCCAAGACAAAGAGATGCTATTCTTTGCAATTTTTCCCCTTTTCACATTCGTGATTGGAGACGGAGCTGGAAAAGAACACAAATAAACAGTAACATTAATAGAGCCCTGAAGTTACACAGTCTTTTGCGTATCATGAAGTAATTATTATTAGATTATTAATTTTTCTTTCATCCTAGGGAAAAAAAAACAGTATTTTCTCTATATAAGCAATGCAATGATTATTGTCAACCAATATAAATTAGCTAACTATCCTAAGAACTTTATAGTAATACCAGAAAAGTATGCTTTTATCTTGATCATCACCCATATATTAGAATTCAGGCAAATTATTTTACATTATTTATAGAGTGAAGATATTCCTGGTGAACTAATATGGGTTATTATTTGCAGAAATATCATTTAATAAAAATGCAGTACTTATTCATATTCTAAACCTCCAAAATATGTAGATTCTGTATCCTATAAGAGAACAGTACATAAGCTAAATTGTGTCTTATAAAACATATTGAAGAAACAGCCTTGATGTTTGCATTTTATTCCTTCAATTTCAGATTTTTTAGTGATTTTCAGGTGCAGAATATTTTTATTCCATGCTGTGTCTTTTAATTCTTTAAAGATTTTTTTTAAAAATTAATTTTGTATGTGTATGTGTGTGTGTGTGTGTGTATGTGTTTCTGTGTATTGGTAATACATGTGAGCAGGCACATGAAGAGGTAAGAAACATTTGATTTTTCTGGAGCTGAACTTATAGAAAGTTGTGAATCAACTGATGTGGGGGCTAGGAACCCAACTAAGGTCTTCTAGAGAAACAAAAGGTGCTCTTAGTCACTAAGCCATTTCTCAAATCCTAGATTCTTCTTATTTTTTAAAAAAATGAAAAACATTATTATTTATTGTTATTTTAGGTGTATAAGTATATTGTCTGCTTGTGTGTAAGTGCACTCATGTCATGCAATGCCTGTGGAGGTCAGAAGAGGGTGTCAGATCCCCTGCAACTGGAATTATGGACAGGTGTCAGCTAAAATATGGATATTGTTACCTGAAACCTGGTCCTCTGCAAGAGCAGCCAGTGACTCTTAACTGCTGAGTCATCTCTCCAGCCCCTGAATTCCATTTCTTAAACATGACAGTTTAAAAATTATATAGACTATTTCAGAAACATAGCATACATATAATGACCAAAGAACTTGAAAGTAGTATTAAATTGTAGTTGGATTTCTTCTGTAAAAATTGTGATTTCCTGTCAGTTCTAAGAGTAACATTCTCTATAAAATCCTAAGTTTAAATGGATTTCAAGCGAGGGAAAAGTTTGGTGTTATGCAGCTCTTTGACCAAAGAATTGAGGAGATGAGGAAGCATACAAGAGTAAACTGCTACCTGGCTCCCCAGTTCACTAACAGAAACTACAGGATCATCTCATTAGATGCAGAAAAAAGGTCTTTGACAAAATCCAGCCTTAATTCATCATAAGAGTCATGGAGAATCTAGGGATACAAGGGGCCTATATCAAAATAATAAAGGTAATACATAACAAGCCCAGAAACGACACATTGAATGGAAAAAACCTAAAAGCATTTCCATTAAAGTAAGAACATAACAAGAATTTCCACTCTCTCGTTCCTGTTCAATGCCCTATTGAATTCTGTATTGGAGTAATAAGAGAACTATAAGGATAAAGATGATAAAAATTGGAAAGAAAGAACTCTTTTCCATACACAAAAGATCCTAGAGACTGCAGTGGAAAACTCCCAAAACTGAAAAATATATTCATCAAAGAAGGAGGATATAAAAACAAAAACCAAAATTCAGTAACTTCTAACTACAAACTGATTGAGAAAAAATAGGGAAAAAACCCCACACATGATAGCTCCCAAAACCATAAAATCTATTGGAATAAATCTAACCTAGGATTTGAAAGAATTTTACAAAAAAAAAAAAAAAACTTAAGTATTTGAAGAAAGAAACTGAGAAGATGCCAGGATATGGAAAGAACTCATATGTACATGGATTGGTAAGATGAATACTGTGAAAATGGCCATACTATTACCAAAACCAATCTACCAATTCAGTCCAATAATCATTAACATTCAGACACACTTTTTAACAGAATTTGAAAAAATCTCAAATTTCATATGGAAACAAACAAACAAACAAACAAAAACACAAGATAACCAAGATAACACCAAAGAATAAAAGAACTTGTAGCAGCATTGCTATTCCTGTTCTTATACTACAGAGCTGTAGCGATAAAACCAGCATGGTACTGGCATATAAACAGACACACTGATAAGTGGAATATAATTGAGGACCTAGATTTAAAACAAACTGATTTTTGGCAAAGGTGTCACAAATGCACACTAAAGAAAAAAAAAAAAACACAACATTGTTCAGTGAATGGTGGTAGGCAAACTGAAGAACTTCCTGCAGAAAAATGAAATTAGATCCCTTTCTCACAATGCACAAAACTCAAATTGAAGTGGATCAAGTGCTTCAATATAAATCCAGATGCTCTGAATCAGACAGAGGAGAAAGTAGGGAATACACAGTAATTTATAGGACCCAATAATGCAAGAATTAAGTCCAACAATTGACAAATCAGACCTCATGAAACTAAAATGCTTCTGTACAGCAAAAACACCATCATTTGAGTGAAAACGCAACCTACAGAATGGAAAAAGTCAAAACAAAACGAAACGTTACCTGTTATACCTCTGACAGAGGATTAGTACCTAGGCTATGCAAAGAACTCAAAAAACTAAGCATTACAGGGCTGGGGAGATCATGCAGTGGTTAAGAGCACTGGTTGCTCTTGCAAAGGACCTGGGTTCAATTCTCAGCATCCACATGGTGGATACCAACTGTCCATAACTAAAGCTCCAGGGGATCTGATGCCCTTTTCTGATCTCCACAGGTACTGTGCAACATGGGTACACCTACTTAAATGCAGGCAACAATACTCTCACACACATTAAAAAATAAAATATTTAAAAACAAAGTAATCATTCAAAACGCAATTAAAAATCGGAGCAATGAGCTAAACAGGACATTTCCTAAGATGAATGCAAACGGCTGAGAGTATTTTGAAAATATTCAACATTTTTAGTCATCAGGGAAAACCAGATTAAAACCACTTTGAGATTTCCTGATATACAGCTCAAAGTGGCTAAGATCAAAAAGACAAACAATGGCCAATTCTGGCAAGGATGCAGAGATTAGGTTACTCTTATCCACTGCTCTGGGTGTGCAAACTGGAGCAGCCACTGAGGAAATCATGATGGAGATTCTCCACACAGCTAGAAATTCGTGTAGCATTTTATCCAGCCATTCCACTCCTGGGCCTATATCCCAAAGATGCTATACTTTCAGAAATACCTGCTCATACATGATAATTGCTGCCATTTCCAAAATAGCCAGATTAGAACCGCTTTGATGTTCAAGGGTGGATAAATGAATAATGAAGCTGTGGTAGCTATGGGCTATTGAAATGAAATTATGAAATTCACACAGAAATGGATGGAACTGCAAACAATCATTCTTAATGAGGTAAGTCAGACCCAGAAAGACAAACGTCACATATTCTTTCTAATAACTGGATGTTTGCTTTGAATTCATAGCTATGCATGATTCAGCTTGGCAATCAAAAGAGGTCAGGAAACTAAAAACCATCCATGGGGGGTCATATGTCTAGGAAGCATAGGAGAATATAGTAATATAAAGGAGGAAATGGAAATAAGAGAGTTGAAAGGGTTAAATGGTGCACAGAATGAAAGGGCACTGCAGAAGAGGTTGTATGGTTAAGGGTAAGTAACACTAAAGTCTTTAGGAAAACACATGGAAATATACCACTATAGAAGCTTCTTAAAAATATACATATTCATTTTAAAAAGTAATTAAAAGGTTACTCATGTTGGGAAAATACTACCCCAATAAATTAGGCTGGAAAATAAAAGCCCAGTTCCAGGAATGGACTCCCTATTTTGAAGCTGTTGACCAGGAGTCCCATATACACTCAAACAACATTGACCATGCCCCTGTACTTCATTACCCACCAGAACTTGACAGAAAGCTTTATTTCTGAAGATACTACATGTATAAGCAGTAGAACAAATAAGGACAAAATAAAACTTGTGCAAACTTCAAGGTCTCGTCTTTACTGGCTGGCATTCATAATGCTGGAAGGTGGTATGCATGCTACTGGAAGAGAAAATTAGTCATCAGCTCTACCCAGCTGTGAATCCTGTGAGCTACAACTGGTCTGGCAAGATAGTCCCACCAGCACAAGAGCGGCATAAATTCATGGTAGTAACCAATCATTTTATAGTTGGATTTACGGTAAGCTTCATAGGATGAGCCCATACCTGACATTGATATCAAGCCTTAGAACCTGAAGCTTGACATGTCACAGGACATAAGGGAGAGCCTACTGCCTTCTTCTGCTAAATAGACACAATATTAGATTCCTTATGACTTATTGTTATACCCACAGATTAATGCATCTCTTAACTATCAGCAGAGAAGTTTCTTATGCATCTGTGGTTATTAACAAAGAGACCTTCAACTGGCCTGCATGCAGAGAACAAGAGGCTGCAAACTGTTTATCCCTGAAGAGGACACCTGTATCAAACTTCTGCCTCTCAAAGCTCAGATATCATTTGGAAGAGGGATAGAAAGATTGTCATAGCCAGAGGTGGTGGTTGGCCACAGGGAAACATTTTCCATACAGCTGGGCAGTAGTTATTTATATGAACTCACAGAACTGGTGACGAATTGCATGATCAGTTCCTTGTAAACTCAAGTCATTCAAAATCCTTGCATAGACACAGGGAAGTGGGTAAAAACATTAACCCTGTCTGAGGAACAAAATAGAGTGCATGAAATTGATAGGGCTGATTAGTAAGGGGTGGCATACAGGAGAGGGGATTTAAATAAGATCATAATATATTGTATGAAATTCCCCAAAAATCAATAAAAAGGGAAGCAATTGTTTGATTTAGTCATGGTAATATTTTCAAGTCCTGAAAATTACTTACCACATAAAAGATTAATAAGCAATGATTGACTAAAT